TGCACTCGACCAATCCCCCTGCCTGTAAGATTGAGAACTGTTGTTCTACTTGTCCACACACCACTAATCTGTCAGATTTTGCTGGGTGCCCAGCCATGTTGGAATCCCCGGCAATGAACAAGCAAATACTCATAGGCGTAGGAGCCAGGGGGGCTGCAGCCCCCCCAGTCGGGTAAATGCTGGTTGAATTCGGGCAATTTTGGGCAGGGGCGTAGATAGGAAAATTCATAGAGGGGGCGAGATACCCTGACAAAAATTTGACACTAATTCTCATTTTTTATTATTTTGAACATAACATAAGGCCACTAGAACTTAACGAAACAGAAAACCATCGTTATTTTTCCGACAAGTGCAAAAATTTTCCGACAAAATGGCAGTTTAGCCTTATAGGTGGGTTTTTCGCCCCCTCCCCCGCCTCGACCCCCTCTATCTACGCCACTGGTGGAATTCATCACAAATTTTCTGGCAGGTGAAATTTCTCTTCTCTTCCCCCTAAATCTTAAATGCCCCTACGCCGATGCAAATACTCTAGCATGTTCTGCCGTTATGTCCACACCACACCAACCACGTTTCTCATATATTCCAGCCACGAATTATTACCCCCAATTTAAGACCTTCCTTTACACCCGATGGCAATCTTTCTGGTCAAATCTTCGAAATGATAGATTACATACTGTAAAACTCTCAATATCCTCTTGGTCAGCTCCATTTCACCGTAACAGACGTTGGGAGACGGCTCTCGCCCGTTTAGGTATTAGCCACACTCATCTAATACATTCCTATCTGATGTCACATTCTGATCCGCCCCTATGATCCCTATGTAATGTTCTTTTAGTTTCACACATTCTGTTGTCCTGTCCATGCAACCCGTACCTCTGATTTCCCTCACCTATCCTTCCTTCACCAACCTCCCAACCTGTCAGACATCCTTACGGAATCCCACATTTTCTGCTTTGACAACCTGTCCTCCTTCCTCAGACGCATACATATCCTTCACTTGATCTAATCACCCTTACCTAATCCTACGTTAATCCATTCACTCATCAACTCATTTGCCCATCTTGAACCTTTCCAGTATTACTCTAAATTGTTGACGTATAGCAACTAATTACTAACTCAACCGCCTTTCACTACTCTTTATTGTATCTTCCTATAGTGCTACGTGACCTTAGATGTCTAGCATATTTATTTTGCTTTTAACCATTAACCATTTCCATCTCTTCTCTCTCTCTCTCTCTCTCTCTCTCTCTCTCTCTCTCTCTCTCTCTCTCTCTCTCTCTCTCTCTCTCTCTCTCTCTCTCTCTCTCTCTCTCTCTCTCTCTCTCCCTCTCTCTCTCTCTCCTCTCTCCTCTCTCTCTCTCTCCTCTCTCTCTCTCTCTCTCTCTCCTCTCTCTCTCTCTCTCTCTCTCTCTCTCTCTCTCTCTCTCTCTCTCTCTCTCTCTCTCTCTCTCTCTCTCTCTCTTCTCTCTCTCTCTCTCTCTCTCTCTCTCTTCTCTCTCTCTCTCTCTCTCTCTCTCTCTCTCTCTCTCTCTCTCTCTCTCTCTCTCTCTCTCTCTCTCTCTCTCTCTCTCTCTCTCTCTCTCTCTCTCTCTCTCTCTCTCTCTCTTCTCTCTCTCTCTCTCTCTCTCTCTCTCTCTCTCTTCCTCTCTTCCTCTCTTCCTCTCTTCCTCTCTTCCTCTCTTCCTCTCTTCCTCTCTTCCTCTCTTCCTCTCTTCCTCTCTTCCTCTCTTCCTCTCTTCCCCTGTTCCTCTTTTCATCTTTCCCCCATTTCTTTTCTCTTCCTCTCTCTCCCTCTCTCTCTTTATATGCACTTTTTTCCCTTTCTTCCTCTTTTCTACTTTTCCTCTTTTCCTTTCTTTCTCCTTATATCCCCTTTTCTTCCTCTCTGTTTCTCTTCCCTTCTCTGTCTCTCACTCTTCCCCTTCTCTCTTTCTCATTCTTTGTAACTTTCTCTCTTTCTCCCTCGCTCTCCACCATCCCTTTCGCTCTACTTCTCTCTTTATCTTTTATCCTCTCTCCCTTTGTATCTCGCCGTCTTTTCTCTTTCATTCTCTGACTGATACACCTATGCAGAGTCAATTAATATCTATGTAATCTCAAATGATACAATCAATAGAAGAGGTTTTGAAATCTCACCTGCCAATGGAAAGGTATCCTTCCTCTGTTGTTCGCTTAACAAACTCCACGCAGGTGTGAGATGTGATGACGTACATAGCCTGCAGAATAATCCTCCGTTCTTTTTTTGCTGCGAAAGAAAAATAGTTTTACGCGTTCAAAACCTTGTCAGTTATTTATTACATGATCTAGATGATAAAATAAGGAGAACCATTTTAGTTCTATACAACCTGAAATCAAACACGAATGTAAAAGATTTTTATATTAAAACATTCATTACCGATACTGTGTGAATAGTGATAAGATTAACAAACATTTAATTGTGTATCTTGTTGGTTATAAGATCATTCAGAGAACACTGAAATTGACTGAATATATATTTGCC